CTTTATAAGGGATTCTATGTACCAAGTGGAGAATAGGAGTGTGGGTTCTTCATTTAGAAGAAGAATGGAAGAGCTGGATAAGAAATTCAAGCTTTGGTATACCTAATGGGAGGATCACACCGGTCAGTTTTCAGAGAAAATAACTCAGGCACATTTACCTTGTGCCAGAACAGCCTTTATAGTTTTTTTTTTTTTTTTAAAGGGGGACTGGATTAAAATTCCTCCTAGATTTTTGTGGGCAAATGTTATGAAAATCACATATAGTAGGGTGGGCAACACCAGATGTGCCCTCCTGGGCATTTTTGCATTTCCACACCCTTGAAGCTCTCCCTAAAGTTGGTACCATATCTCTTAATTTAAGACACATGACATTGTAAGAAGGGCACATTTCTTGCAGAAAAACAAGTCTTTTCATGAGCTGGTACCTTTATTATTATTTTTGTTTGTTTGTAATGAAAATCATGCTCATGGAAGCTTCTGGGAGTATGGTTCTTCTCATAAACAAGGTTTCCACTTATAGCAGAGTGTGTAGTCTGGGGAAATGGGAAGGGGCACAGTTTCTGCTTCTAGTTACTAATAGGCTGCTAAATTTGAGCAGCATGCGGGAGCACCATTCACAGAATATTCTGGGTACAAAAAATTGGTCCCCAGCCCTGTGAAAGTTGCCCCCCCCCACTTGGATATGTGGAGCAGAGGTAACTGTAAATAAGAAAAAAAACTCAAATTATTTCAGAAAGTTCTCATAAAGCAGATTTTATGGAAGGAGCATATTCACTGAGGCCAGATAGTTATAATTTTTGTTGTTTTGGGTTCTCTTAAGATGGCACCAGTGCCAGAAAATGGAGTAGGAAATGGCTGAGAGATTGAGTATATTGTCTCGGAGGCAGAGATACTTGAATATCCAGCATTTTTCAAGTAGCTACCAATGCCCCCCCCCTTTGGTCCCACAGACTGTTTGCTCACTTTCTCTCTCCCCTTTCTCCTTCTCAATTAACTTTCCTGCTTTTGGGAGACTGAAGCAAAAAGCAGCAGTGAATATTGAAAAGGTACTAATTCAGTTTCTGTTCAGTTTATTTGTGTCTAGAAACAGTACTGTGGCATTCCATAGTACCAGACTATGGAATGCTCTCCCAACTGAGATTTGTCTGGCGCCGACGCTGATGACATTTCGGTGCCAAGTCAAAACCTTCCTGTTCCAGAAGGCTTTTAATTGAAATAACATTAACTGTGGGTCCTGATGGCAATTTTTAGAGTTTAGAGTTTTAATTGTATTTTAATACAGTAGTTTTATCTTTTGTTGTATTTTAATTGTTGTAAGCTGCCCAGAGAGTGGGCGGCATATAAGATAGATAAATAAACAAACAAACAAACGTTACTTCAACATCCAAATTCTAACTACAGTGGTGCCTCGCAAGATGATTACCTTGCAAAATGATTAATCTGCAAGATGATTAGTTTTTGCGATCGCTGTTGCACCTTGCAAGACGATAGTTTCCTATGGACAATTTTCACAAGACGACAATTTTTCCCCATTGGAACACATTAAATGGATCTCAATGTATTCCAATGGGGAACCACGTTTCGCAAGACAATGTTTTTGCAAGACAGCATTTTTCGCGGAATGAATTAACATCGTCTTGCGAGGCACCACTGTATTTGGTTTGGGAATCTCCACTAAAGTCATCTGCTGTGATAAGAAACCAGAGCTCTCAGTTACAAAACTATAGTATAGTATAGCAATGTCTATTCATACACAATACTACAGGGACAAGCAAGAGGGACAAGCATACACAGTTGAGCATAAATGTGCAAATTGTAACGGGACTTATCTTAGCTCCTCATATGTTGAGAGAACTAAAATGGACTTTTGTTCCTCTGATAATCACTAGAGAGCACTGGTGATAACAACAATGAAGTTCTTAGTGCTGGCAGTGGCATCTTTAGGTAAAGGTAAAGGTTCCCTTGACAATTTTTGTCCAGTCGTGTTCGACTCTAGGGGGTGGTGCTCATCCCCGTTTCCAAGCCATAGAGCCAGCGTATTGTCCGAAGACAATCTTCCGTGGTCACATGGCCAGTGCAACTTAGACACGGAATGCTGTTACCTTCCCACAAGGTCGTCCCTATTTATCTACTTGCATTTGCATGCTTTCAAACCGCTAGGTTGGCGGGGGCTGGGACAAGCGACGGGCACTCACTCCGTCGCATGGCTTCGATCTTATGACTGCTGGTCTTCTAACCCTGCAGCACAGGCTTCTGCGGTTTAGCCCGCAGCACCACCACGTCCCTCATCTTTACAATGGCATAAATGCTATTTCCCACAAATTGCCTATTTTTCTTCAAAACTTTTCAATTTTGTGCAGAAATCCACAATATGCACAATTTTATAAATGCGAATAGCCACAGACAAGGAAGGCTGCCGCTTTATTTAAGAATTTAAGGAGTGCATAGGTTGTTTGCCTCTTATTTTAAAATTAGCCCATCCTTCTATGCTTGCTATGTATGTCTGTGAGCTTAAGAAATACTGTTTGCATATTTCTGAACAAACAACCAGGCTTCTGTTCTTGGCTTCTTAAAGGAAAATTGCAATAAAAATATTTTACACAATTTACAGAGATGGGAGAACTCTGTCTCCTTCTTTGCTAGAACCAAGGAATCTTGTGGAACTTTGCACATGAAGTGTCTCACATGTCAAGACATACAACATAGATGAGAATGAGGAATTTAGTGAGTTCTTTTTCCATCCTCATCCTACACTTGTATGAATCATAGTACATATCGTACAAAGAGACTGCAGCCAACAAGAGGTGTGAGAAACGAGAGAGAGAGAGAGAGAGAGAGAGAGGGCTCCTTGGTGGAATCTTTTCAGATTTAAATATTGTGAACAGGTGAGTGGGGCACCATACAAATTGTGTTTTAAATATCTCAAAAGCTGAACTTATCCACATGTTAGACTTTTAAATATTATAAGGCTATCCTCAGATAAAAGCCACAGAGCTCCCCCGCATCAATGCTGTAGCTGTCCTACATCTCTGCTGTAATCACTGAGAGGCATATAATGAAGTACAACAATGTGAAATTCAAGAACATTCACCAGAGGTGGTGGTCTCATTTTGAAACCTATCATATAAGATCCAGGCAATCACATTATGGCAGGAATGAGGAACCTCTGGCCCTCCCGACATTTTTGGACTGCCAACTTCCACTAGTGATAGCCAGCAAAGACAATAGCAAGGAGTGATGTGAGTTGCAGACCAACAGCCCCCAAAAGGCCACACATCCTCATTCCTATACTATAGGCCCATCTATAGTAACACAGGTATAGTGGTTTGATTCCACTCAAACTATAATGGCTCAGTTGTACAGCATTCTGGGATTTGTAGCTTGGTAAAGTACTTAGGTCTTTCTTCTTGAGCGCTCTAGTTCACTTCAATGAGGTACAGCGTAGAATTCCAAGAACCCCACAAAACTATAGATCCTAGAATTGCATTGGATGAAGTCATAGTGGTTAAATTGGAGTCAAATCAATATCACTGAATAGGAGAGATACACTCTTATGAATATATTTACTCTGTGTGTATCTGTGTGAGTTGTGTGCAACATAAAAGATGGAAATCTAGCAAACAGAATATCCAGATATTGTCTCAAGAGGTGAAACCGATCTTTTGTAATAGACTTATACCTTCCCCCACATTATGTTCTTAATATGCAGAGCTTTGAAATGCACAAGTCTCTTGAATTACCTTCCATGCCAGACCAACAGAACAGAGACTTTACAATGGGAACAATCACAGTCTTGGTGGAAAATAAGCAGTCAGCTTCATCCACAAGGCTTGCATAAATAATTCCAACTTTGGCCAAAGTCTATTTTGGATAAAGAAGAGTCAATACTGTCAATCTGCAAAAAGCTGATTTGCTAAAAGTCCATTGTAACTTATGAGCCTATTTTCCATCCAGGTAGTTTAGAATTACTGATCTGCAAAAAGACAGTGGCTTTTGTCATCTGCCAAAAACTTTGAATTGCATGTTTATCTAAAGCTAATGTAGTCAACCACTGACAGCCCAAAGGAATCAAAACTCCAGCATTGCCTCTTAGAAAACTACAACAATAATTTTGATGTTATTGCATGCTTACTCCCTTCATTTTCCTCTTGTTTACCTCTCAGTTGTGCTCAGCATCTTCTAGCCATTTACTACCTGTTTTTGGTAGCTTTGGAAGTTGAGAGTTGCAAGTGATCTTTGCAGTTGGCAAGAGACAAACATCAATCTTGGATTATATTTGGCCACAATTTTATTGATAATCTACAAGCCAGAGGTAATTGTTCATCATTAATGAGCACAGAACAAGTACAAGGTTACCTCTAAATTTTTATTGGCTAAGGATCTGGCCTGGCTGCCTCGCTACTATTCACAAGTGAACAACATCTTTATTATGATTGTGATATTTGCCCCTTTGTGGCCCGTTTCTCTTCCAAACACAGAGCACATGAAGGCAAACCAAACACCTTTTCACTTGCTTCCACCAGTTGATTTCTTTATCAACGTACTTTGCTTAGGAAAGACAAAGGTCCATTCATCACTGCCTTTTGAATAAAACAGGTTTATTGATTACAGATGTTTCTATAATAATTCATAAGTATCTTCTTCAGGTTCTTCAAGTATCAATAACAATCTTCTATATTATCTTACAGGTTACTATACACTCCTCAGACTAATCACTCCTCAGATTCCCAAACTAACTAACTCTCTCTGTCTCTCTGAACTCCCCCCTCCACTCATCTCAAGCTCTACCTTTTAACATCTCTAGTGCCCCCACCTCTCAACCACATCAGCATAAAACATGAATAATGCATGATTATTTAACATAATAAGGGTGAATGCCACAATGATCAACTGAAAATTCACAAAATAATCAAGGTTCAATTATTTTTTTAAAAAAGTGTGTGTGGGGGGGAGAACACTAAAAGTCCATAACTTTGGGAATGATAGAAAATCTTACTAACATGAGAACTTCATCAGAAGTACTAGGAAATTCCTTATCTTTCTTCCTGGTGAACAGAATGTTGCAATGTCCTTTCCTGCAAGGATGAAGCAAGTGAGGATATACAACTCTAATATAAGGGAACATTATATGAATTATTTACACATTAAAATAATGCAATTTCCAACATAAGAACAAATTGATTGGCTTGTATTTCAGCAAAGACATAAGGAGGCCCTTCTTGACTGTTGCGTAGCTCTGTCTGCACAACAGTAATAACATCATCATCATGTGGCATATTAACACTGATTAAAAACTTTCTTTTTAAAATGTGGGGCGCACATGGCTTGCATGCAATCACACAAAGTCACATGCTGCCCAAAATTGAAAAAGGAAATCTTTAATTAGTGGCAATCTGCTACTGCTGACATCATTCGCTTCGTGCACATGAAACCTACCCTAAAAAAAAATCCTTAAGCTTACCGGAGGAATTCCAGCCAATACATATGTAATTTATGAAATTTACTGCTCCACAGTGTAGTGATATCAGCCATTAACTCAACTGTAATGGAGCAGAGGGCTCAATAAAGTGATGAAGAACTGCTATTTGCATAAACTTTTGTCTGGGCTGAATTTTTAGAAAACAGTGCCAGTCAATTTTTCTGGGTATTGAATTTGGGATACCATGGGTGCAAAACAATGGCTGGCTCCAAGAGCTAGGGGCTTCTCCAGTCTCAGGTATTTCTATGTTCCAGGTCAGGAGTTTTAATCCGAAACCTTTTTTAGTCTACATTCTGAATAGTTTATTGGCCAAAATACTGTTTGCATAACTACATGTCAGAAGCTGATGATGCCATCAGTTTCTACTGATAAAATGTAATTTATGTTATTTAAATACTTCCTATTCTTCCATTCTAGGCTCCAAGGCTTCCTAGGGCTCCTTTTGCCCTGGGAAACCTTTGTGAGGCTTAAAACTGGGGAGAAGGGGCACATTTAATGACCAAGAATCTCCATCTGATTGTCCCCAGAAGTCTTGATCCCAGCAGTGGTGATCTAGCAGTGATTTTTGATGATTAAAGACTTCTCTCATCCTGTTTTAGGGCTCCCAAAAGCTTGTGCAGGGCAAAAAGAAGCCCCAAGGAGCTTCAGAACCTAAAACAAGGAATAAGGAACTCACTGTATCACTCATTTTAATCATACAAGTGAGGTTGATCAGGCTGAGAATGTGACTGGTCCAAAGTCATTCAATTAATCTTGTGGCTGAGGGAAGATTTAATCCCAGTTCTCCTGAGCCTTCATCAAACACACTAACACATTAGACAGTTTCTTTAAATAATTTCCATTACAATTTATTGTTCCCATTTGATGGCTGTCTGATTAGGGTGATTATTCTAGTTCAAACCTGACCATTGAATATTTGTTTAAAAACAGTTGAAAATATTCTGCGCAGTCACAGCCCTCTGTATTCCACTATTCCCAACCCCAGCCCCTTTAAAAGCAACATTAAGTTGGAGCCAGTTTCCTTTTCTCCTGTGGGGCCACTACTCCAGAACACTTGCATTGGCAGAAAAGTGAGGGAGTAAAGAGGCAACTATGTTAATTCCTCCTTTCCTCTGCAGCCCCCCAAGGCATCACTTCTCCCACAGCCTCCATTTGACTTTCCCTTCAGTCTCCTCCATCCCTGAAGGGGAAGCCAGATTCAGCAGACTACCAGCCCCTTTTCAGAAATATTCTTCTGTGGATCAGAAACTTCCTGTAGGTGGAAGAAGCTCTTTTTGACCGAGAGAGTCAAAATTTGGATCCAACCTCCACTGTTTCCACTGAGGATAAATACTATAATATTTCTACATTAGAAAATATTACAAAATTTATTTAGAAAAACTCCTTATGTTGTTTTCTCTCTATCCCCTTCTACTCACCTCTGTAGGAAAAGTGACATACGTTCTTCCCTTGCATTCACTGCAGATTTTCTGACAGAGGAAAAAGGGGGCTGTCTTCAGTCAGTGCAGGTTGACAGGAGCAACATACTGGAACAATGGACAAAAAGTTATGAAACTCCAAGAGAACTGGAGGAAATCTAATCAGCTTCCACCATGAGCAAGAGGTTTAGGGTAAAAGAACCAATTTACCCCAAACAACTTAAACTAGTAGGCTATTATATTCTCCCTCCAAGTCCTCAGATGATTGAAGAGGATAGGAGAAATGAGGTGTCACTAATCCCATTGCTGCTTTCAATGGGTAGCCAATGGCCTTGGTAGATTTTTTTTTTAAAAAAAGAAGTTGTTCCAAAGGACAGAACAGTTCACAGCTTGTGGAGGGGAATTCTAATTATTGTGTGACAGGTGAACAGAAATACACCCATCCACTTCTCTTTATGGGGATGTGAGAAAGGAAGAGTTTGTGCGGTTGAAAGAGTAGTTCCTTGTGATATGGATAAAGATGTTTTCATGACTCTTTTCTAAGGCTTAGTGGGTGAGCAAGCAAAACACAGTGGGGAATTAGATGGTTCTCTTCATCATGTAACAACCAACTTGTGGCTGCCATTCTTCACACAGGTACTTGAATTCAGTGAGTAAAGATATACAAGACTGCCTGTCAGATTTTAAAAGAAAATATAATCCTAACAAATGGAATAAACCCAGAAAAGTATGAGTATGTCCCCATACTTTTAGAAATTTCACAGACCAAGGCATAAGCTCCAGCCTCTGATTTACAGGTTCTTCTACATACTGGGATTTGTGTGCAGGCGTACACAACCGTGTGTATCTTTTTTATTGCTCTGGAAAAATGCCAGATTGTGACTAAAAATATCTAGGACACCATAAGCCCGGATGGCTTTATACACTGTAAGTGGAGCTTAGGGGATCTTTAGCTTCTTTTCTGTTCAAAGTGGATGGCAGGAACTGACCTGACCATAGACCTACAACAGGGTAGCTCTGACATTCAGAGAGCTTGTGCCCTGCGTTTCACCTTGCCTCACCCTGAGGAAATAAATAAGAAAGCCTTTCTCCTTTCGGCATTTATTTCAAATGAATCAGGCTTGTATTAGAAATGGTTCACTGAAAGAGAAAGAGAGAAGAGGGAGGGAGGGAGGGAAGAAGGGAGGAAAAGCTGTGGATATGAACAAAAATTGAGAATTCCACAGAGAATCCCTTCAGCTCCAGGAAAAAGCCTTCTTAACAAAGCTGGACTGATTCCTACCTGTGGGCAGACATTGTGGCAGGACTTCACACCCCTTATCCCTTTTCAGACAGACATTTCCCCACTCAGCTAAAACTCCTCATTTTACAGTCCAAAAAGATGACAGGTATTAGAAAAGGGCAGTCTCTGACATCAAATCACTTTTTAATGACCCTTCTTCGATTACTAGAGGAGGAAAATAGCCCATAGCAAAATTAAGAATAGCTATATTCTCAGGCTCTTTCCATGGTAAAGTAGCAATAAAGTTCTCTCATTCCAATCATTTCTACCCAATGGCCTGCTGTTTAAGGAACATGTCTCTCACATAAATTAGTCTTGCTGGATTAGACCAATGGCCCATCTCGACCAGCCTTCTGTTCCCACAGCAGCCAACCAATTGTATACAGGAAGCCCATAAGCAGAACATGAGTACAAGCCTCCCTCTGGCTCATGTTCCACACTACAATACTACAGGCATTCTTCCCTTTGATAGTGCAGCTAATGTATAGCCATAATGACTAACTGCTATTTATCCTGCATTCGTTTGTATAAACCCTGTTTTAAAAACTCATCACGGGCGAGGCTGCTACTGCATCTTGTAGCAGGGAAATCCATAGTTTCAATTGTGCACTGTCTGAATAAGTGCTTTCTTTTATCTGTCCCGAATCTCACACCTTTCAACCACTCAGTGATTCCAGATATTAATAGCATAAAAAAGGGGGGGAATGGCTCTTCATCCACTTTTCCTCAGGGGGTTGGTTGAGGTTTAGATTGTTTTGGTTGTGCTTTCCTGCATCTTTTCTAGTTCCACAATATTTATTTGCTATCCATTGACCAAAGCAATTCACAGTATTCCAAGTATAATCGTACTATATAATTGTATAAAGGCACTGTAACACTGGGATGTGGTGGCACTGTGGGCTAAACCGCAGAAGCTTGTGCTGCAGGGTCAGAAGACCAAGCAGTCATAAGATCAAATCCATGTGACGGAGTGAGCGCCCATCGCTTGTCCCAGCTCCCGCCAACCTAGCGGTTCGAAAGCATGCAAATGCAAGTAGATAAACAGGGACAACCTCAGTGGGAAGGTAACAGTGTTCCATGTCTAAGTTGCACTGGCCATGCGACCACGGAAGATTGTCTTCGGACAAACGCTGGCTCTATGGCCTGGAAACGGGGATGAGCACCCCCCCTAGAGTTGAGCACGACTGGACAACAAATGGTCAAGGGGAACCTTTACCTTTACCTTTTACTGTAATACTGGCTGTTTTACTTTTCATTCCTCTCCCAATGATCCTCAACACAGAATTTGCCTTTTTCACAGGATCCGCCCCATCACTACATATGAAGTCAGGTTTTCATGTCTCAATGTGAATCAATAGAGTCGAACACGACTGGACAAAAAATGGATCCGCCTCATCACTACATGTCAGGTTTTTATGTCTCAATGTGAATCACGTTTTCCTGGCAATGAACCATATTTGCCATTCTAATGCTCTTTATCCCAGTTTCAGGAGACATTTTAAGCTGTTTACTAGTTCTTTGGATTTTAACATCCTACATACCAGAGTGTCAGAGTTCAGTCCTAACTCTGTATCATTTATAAATAAATTAAAGGCACACACTTTGGAACTGATCTTGGTAGACCCCACTTGTTAATCACTCCCTTTCAAAACCCCCAGAGTGTCAGAGTTCAGTCCTAACTCTGTATCATTTATAAATACTGTAAGTTAAAGGCACAGACTTCGGAACTGATCCTGGTAGACCCTACTTGTTAATCACTCCCTTACAAAAACCTTTTTTCATTCATTACTACAGTAAGCCTCATATTCCTTAAGTAGTTACAAGCATATTCTCTTATCCCATAACAGCTGAGTTTGTTCAGGAGTCTTTGGTGAGGGATCTTGTCAAAAGTATTTTAAAAGTCTAAATAAATAATGTCCACCAAGGTCAAGCTAGGTATCAACAGAAACACATTTTTCCTTCTATTAATTCTTTTCATCTCCTACAAGGAAGCGCCCTGAAAAATACATGCCTTGACAGCCTTCCATATTAAATTCACATTTAACTTCCAGTAACCAGTCACAAAGCAAGGCACACTAAACACAAGATGCAAAGCACGGAAAATCACATGATGCAACAAGCAAACATCTTTAGTCATTTGAAAAAACACCTGTTTTTAAGGAGATGCTAAACATGTCATTTAGTTTGACCTTTAGTCCTTCTTTATCCGTGTGATTCCAGTAATTGCCTCAATCTGACTGACTGCACTGTGAAGTCTCTGTATTTCTAGGACAAGAGTCATTTCCCCTCAATTTCATCCTGTTCTTCAAGGGTATTGGTATTCCAACAGATCATAAGTCTTCAACAGGTGAGGAAAACTGCATTTTCTAATATCCCTGTTATTAAAAAGGGTCTTCTATTTTGTCTATTCATTCTGTGATAGTAACCTCACCCCACTGCCTTAGCCCGGAGCCTGTCCCCAGCACTATCAGGTTAATTATTCCACAGCAATTTCTGGCCCACTAACTCAGCCTTTGTGCACACAAAACAATAAGCACTACTACAAGCCATTAAGCCTGTCTGCTAGATAAGTATGTCAGACATACAAATTGTCCCTTTGCTTAGTAAAATTGCAGTTGTTTATTAAGATGAAGAACACAGTTACTACCAATATTCTCAATCCACCTAGGTGAAAGGGGATTTTATATTTTTATATATACAGAGCTTTCTATATATTCAAGACTTTGCAAATCAAAATTTGAAATGGCACATGGGTATGAAGGGATGTACTTCGCTGGATGTTGGTATGGCTTCCCGTTTGTAATCTGGACGTTATACTGAATTTGTGAGGAATGTCATATTCAGCTATAACATCTGTGACCATAACATGAAAAAAAAAATTCAACAGGTAAGGTTTTCCCTTGTGCTATTTCTAACAATGAGTATTCTTAAACTCGCACTCTGAAGACATCAGATCAGAAACCATCACTGCTTACAAAAATTTTATGTTTCCAAACTTCTGCTTCCCTACAGGAACAAATGTGTTTATTTATGCCACAACCTTACTTATTAAGATTCATTTTGCCTGTGGCATATTGGCAGCTGGACACCTCTGCCAGCCTCTGAGTACTTTACTGGACATGGTTGCCCTAAATGACTGTGTTGTCTGCCTATTGGAGCTATTGTGAGTCAACTCTGAAGGCAACCAGATCAGACAGATAAATGCTATTTGTGCTAAATTCCACTTTGGTGGCCGCGGCACAGACCTTTCCTTGGATGCCAAGGCTAAAGCAAGACAAGACAAGCTGCCCAGTGAATACTACGCATATTTTGAATGCAATGGAATAAAAACAATCTTCCACAACTTCCCCATGTGTTTTACAGAATCTTCTTCAATAGTACTGGGGGGAAAAATTCCCCAACAAAGGAAGCTGTGAGGTCCTTACACAATACCAATGCAGGAGAAGGTGATGCTTTTATAACCACCACCGCATGCTCTCAAGTCAATTCTCGAGGTAGAGAATATTCAGAAGTGTTTTACCATTCCCTTCTTCTGGGGCCACCCTGCGACTGTGCAGCTTGCCCAAGGCCACACAAGCTGTCTCTACTAGCAGAAGGCACAGTAGGGAATCAAACTTCCAATCTCTCCTAAACTACTGAACTATCTAGCCAGCATAATACACCACTAAAAATAAAGGCGTCCCCTCCTGCATTTCTATCATGAAAGGACCACATGACTTCCTGTGTTGTTATTGTTGGAAATTTTGAAGATATTAGGAAAAGCCTCCTCTCAGCACTCCCAAGAGGACTACATAGACGCTTGACATCAATCAAACTGGAATGCAAACTGAAAATAATAACTGCTTACACACTCACCAGGTGATGCTATTTGTTTGGCCTTAAAAGGATTCTCCTACTTGGTGAGTAAACCAAATTTTATCCCAGCTTTCTGACGGAGATTGCAATGCTTCTGTGTTGCCTTTTCCTCCACCTTCCAGCCAAGCAGGAAACTTGCATTTCAAAAACAAGTGATGTGTATGTGAGGGAAGCGTATACAGATTAATTGGCTGTCAGAATTAAGTGGGTGAAAAATTCAAACCACATTACCAGGGTTTGAATTTTGAATTGGATACCATTAAACCACATCCCCATAGACCAGTTGCAGCCAACTTTCAGCTCACCTTAAGAAGCACACCTTGGCAGACTTCTACCATGAATGTTTGGGACTATCCACAAGATATTGGTGCACGACGTGAAGAATTAGATTTTAATCATGAAAACTCACACTGTTTGATATCTCTCTCCCTCCCCACCCCCAGTGATCTAATAAAGGAATAACCTTCTCCTGCTTTCTTCAGTAATAGTTACAAAGATTCTCAGTGTCACATGTCTGTCTGGCTACTTAAATAGACTGATGGACAAGAGAAGAGCAGTACATGTTGAATATTTGCTTGTTGGTCAAGACAAAAGGCAATAGTCTGATGGTCCCAGAAACCAGAAACTAATAAGCTTAGCCTTTTCCACCCTAAAGTTTCCAAGATAGTTCCAAAGCAGCCTTGGGGAAAAACAGTTTTTAACAAGGGGACAGGAAAACATTCATTGTCTAAAATTAGCACTTGGGAAATATAAACAAGACAACCATATTATATCTACAAGTTTTAGTAACATATAATTAATGCTATTTACATATTTTGTATTAGAATAGCAATCTGAGTCATACCTGGCTCAGAACCTAAAGCTGTACTTTCCCCATGAGACTTTTGCTGTGGAATTATCTCTTTCAAATAAGATAAATAAAATAAAGTAAAGTCTTTGATATTTGGAAAAACAAGCCCTAATGATGTTCTATTTTCATTTGCTTCCTGTTTCAGCCGATTAGATAGAGAGATGCAGATATATGAAAAGAGTTAAAATACAGGGAAATATACAAAAATGGTAATTGGTTTACAGAGAGGAAACTGTGTTTTAAAGAAATGTAAATTGCCCAGATCACAGAATGATTCATGGCTTAAAAGGCATTCCAGGAAGTGAGGGAAAACCAAGAAGAAGACATCAATGAAGGAAGCCTCCAGCTGCACAGAAACAGTTACTGTACCCAGCACTTTTCAAATATAAATCTACTATGAAAATATGTATAAAAATATAAAACTACATTATAGCCCATTAGTAAGAAATATAACAATACAGATTTACTTATGAATATCATCTTGATAAAAGGTAGTGAGGAGCATTTTTTTAAAAAAAAATTATCAATATCCAGCCTTTCTCCTCATGAAGGGCTCAAAAACAGCTTCCAAAATAATTTTAAAAACTAAAACAAATAAAAATATAGTTCTTAATTAGAGATGTATAAACACACTATAACATTTTATAAAGCATTCAAAACTACCCAAAATAACTATGAATAGTCTGTATATGGATGTACAAAGAAAAACTTACAGTATATGATACAGAGATCATACACCAAAATATATCTCCAGTTTTTAAACCAGAAGCAAGAAAATAAACTGACCTGAGGCACAACTCACTTGAGGTTTTTTTGTCTCTGATAATGTTGCAACAAGCTTTCTTTCTCCAAAAAAATCTGTTTAGTTTTGGTGAAAAGGAGGGGGAATATCCTGTAACCTGTACTGCCAATGAGGTGGGGAGGGGAAGCACAGTTGTGGCTGATATCCTATCAATTAGCTGTAAGTCTCAGCTGGTCTAATTTAAGGGTGCTGAGAGACTTGGAGAACTTTAAAAAGCCAACAAGTGAGAAATGTGCTTGTATAATAATATTCCATAGTTAAGACTTGCCCTGCCTTACATATGTTGCCAATTCAGAAGTACAGGGCCCCTCCACTAGACTTAAACATACACCCCCTCATGCTTTTTCCTTCTTTTGTGTGTCTGTGTGTGCAGTGACTAATCCCCCCCATCTTCTTGTATAGTTTGTAAAATGTGGTAACAGCATAAGCTTCAGTGGGTTTCTTATTACCCCCATTGCCCCCTCCTCCTTGGTTCAGCAATAGGGCAGTAAAGCACGCACACACAAATGAGGCCAGAGTTTTGTATTCTTCCAAAAGGCAACTGAAACTCTTATAGTTACTTTGAGAAAGAGGGAGATGAACAGTTACTCTTGAACTACAGCTCCTATAATTCCTCAAGCCACTGGTCACACAGCTTTCTGGGAGTTGTAGGCTAAAATCATAAATCTGCACACCAAGTTTTGTTTTTTGCTTCAAAAGGGTCAGCCTTCCCTATATAGTTATTATCTTCTGATCTCAAAGTTCTGAATGTTACATTTTGGATAAATACTATTTTGGTATTTGTTCCTTCTCAGCTGCCAGATTGCTGTTTTTATTGCTCTGACAACACAAGCAATTAATTCCTTTGCACATTTTTTTGATACATTGTCATTAGAACAGCCTAGAAAAATACAGAGAAATATTCTTTGGTCGCTTTTAGTGATCAGGTCTGATATTGCACCTCATGATATTACTGTTCAGTCTGTTTGGGGGTTACATGATGTGCTTGATTCATTGGTTCTGCACAGATTTCTTTCTCTCTCTCTCTCTCTCTGAGTACTTTTTGGTATAACTGGTCTGGATTGTGGCAGATTAATACTTGCCATCTTTCTATTATCTCTGGAGGTAGGTATGGGCCAAACCAAACAATTCTTGCTTCTTAAAATTTCTGAAAAATTATTTGGTTTTCTCAACATATTACCTCTTTCCTTTGCTCTTTATTTTGCATCAGAGAAGGATTGTGGCTACAAGAAAAAAATTCCTGCATGCCAGGAGATGCCAAATTCTGTGGTATTTATATGCACACATTGGGAGTCACAGAATACCCTTTAGCCTTTATAGCTCAGGTTAATAATATGAGTCACAGACTCAGAAAGAGGAAGAAATAGCCTTCATATATTTTTCCCCTTCTACACTTTAAAAACATTGTGTTATCTATTCACTTTTATAGGAGTGATTAAATTGCTGCCATTCTAGGTCTAAATTGCTTTCTTTTCCCTTGGAATGAGGTGCCTGTAATGTTTATAGGGCTATGGTGAATTTCTTTCACATATTGTGGCAAGTATAACTCCTATGGACTATTTGATTCAGCCCAATGGATGTGAAAATTTTAGGGCTGAGATTCAAGATCTGAGTTGAGAAAAAGCATGATAGCTGCAGAGGCAGGAGCTGCTGTTCCTTGAAAGATAACAAGCCCCTTACCACCTTGGTTTAGGAAGCGGAATTTCAGTATCCCTGTGCAGGAGGGGCACTGAAAGGGTGGCTCCATGTAGCGATCTTACATAAAAGCAACAAAGTGTGCTGCTTTTATACTGCCCCATACTGCTTACAGCACTCTTTATGTAGTGTTCATAGATCTCTCACCCTCAGAGAGTACATGGCCCTCCTTATCCATTTCATTTTTCACAACAGCCCTCTTGGTTAAACTGGAATGAGAAAGAGTCATTGGCCCAAAGCTACCTACTGAATGTCATGGCTTGGAGGAGATCAGAAGCTGGATTTCCCAAGTCCCAGTGCAACTTTCAGAATCTGACGTTCGTAAAGCAGTGGTTGTTCATATCCTTCACTCCCTGGGGAAGCAATGATTGGGAGCCTGATATGATAACAATCCTTAATTATTTGGACATCTGTCACACGCACGATGGAGCAGGCTCATTTATTTTCACATCAGAGGGGAGGAACTGAATTAATCAGTTCAAATTACAGAAAGGAGATTTTGACCAAAACCTTAGGAAGGACAGGTTGTCGGGTAATAAAGCAAACTGCCTCAAGGGGTTGAAGGCTTCGTTAGAGGTCTGTTAGTAGAGCTGGGACAGTCACTTTTCAGGGCTATCACAGCAATAGGTTTCCTGCATTGACTGCAGGCTGCACTAGATACGTTTGAGGCAGCTTCCCATTCTATGAACTGTACATCTATCCTGCTGCTTTCCTACTGTCTCTTTAATATTAACATATTAATGAAAATGGAGATTTGATTGTGTTGCCTTTGTAAATGACAGGAGTAGCCCAAACTCTCCTGCCACTTAAGGAGTAAAGAGGATTACTATTCCCCCATTATATTGCCACGTCTTGTCGTCTGCGCCCTCCACCACTGTCACTATCTCCTGTTCCTCCTTCCACTGTGAGCTCTTGCCATCTCTCTCTCTCCAGCTGCCGCAATCTCTTCCCTATCTCTTGCAGCCACCTCACTTTGCCTAGCAGCAGGACCAGTCCTCTATCTCTTTAAGGCAGGGCTGGGCAAAGTGTGATCCTCCAGCTATTGCTAGACTGCAGTTCCCAGCATTCTACACCACTGTCTATGTTGGTAAGGGCTGATGAGAGTTGAAGTCCAAGAACATCTGAAAGACTTGGCTGTGTCCACACCTTCTTTATTTGAGCCCAGCATTCTATAAACATAGAATTCTTTGCACTTTTGCAACACCTTCAGAAACTGGGTCAACCTGCAAAATGTTATTTTAATGAAAAAGAAGATGGCATGGATCCTGCTGGTTTGAAATGCTAAGTATAGATACAGCAGGTGTAAGTGCATTGTTGGCAGTTCTAGCAAAGTGTGAAGCCATTTTATTTGACACTGGAAATCTGTTTTTAGACATTGCAGCCCATTCTGCAAAGGGTCCCCTGGATACCTAACTTGCAGGTAGTAGTAGAGAGGCACTGAGCAAACCCAGTGATTTTTGGGACAAATTTCTCACCATTTCTTGATCAATGAGCCCGATTGCCAGCCATCTGCTGGGGGACAAAGAAAACTCTTGTTTACATGGCCAGGGCTATGGCATGAAATGAATGCCCGTGTGTACAGGCAGACAATGAGTATAGTAGGATGTCAGGAGATAAGGGTATGGTAATTCCTGCATTATTACTTGCAATGAGTTTCAAAAGACTGCAGGGTTGAAGCTAGAGCCATTTTTAGCTGGGTTCAGCAAATCACCTCTGCCCTTGTTTGCTGCTGTAATTGTGCAAAGAGGGAATAATACAGTATTTCAAGAAATGAGATGGAATTCATTACAGGGAGCTTAGCTCACAACTGAATGCGAGAAACACATACACAAAAGGACGGATTTCATTACAGCTTTGTGGGTGGCAAAGCTGGGAGCCTTCCTATATCTAAGTGGAGTATAATGTTGCCACTTTGAAGAAGCAATACTCCAAGGGGGAATTGTTGATTCATGGACAATTTAGGAGAAGCACATTATCTGGCTCTGTGTGTCTGTGTGGGTGCAGATGTGTCCATGAATGTTTACTAGCCTGCCTGCAGCTTAGCTGTTGGCTTTTCATCCCCCAGATGGCAGTGCTGCCTTCCAAGATCGTAATTCTCTGTGTAGCCCTTGGAGAAAAGAAGTCTGCTCATCTCTGGCAGGCTTATGTGCTATGTTTCTTCGTTTCAGAGGAAATATGGTACAATTCTCATGTAACAAGACTTGTGTAATCAAGAATAAGGAGCTCGTTCCAAGGCTAACAAAGCAGTTACCTCCCTTTGCGAGTGTGTGCAAGATCAGTAATGGATAGATCAGATGCAAGGATATGTGTGGTTTTTTTTTAAATTGTGAAGTGGCTTCATTTGGTTTAGAATAGCTATATTCTCTGTCAGTATTAAACTAAATATTCTAGCCCCACTCCCTGGCCCTCCCATCTCTGCTTCAGGACTGAGGTACAGAGACAAGGAGCTACCTTGCTCTCTGCTAACAAGCCTGCAACTTAAGGCTAATGGCGCCTGCAATTGACACTGTTCACTGGAAACCACACTGTGTTGGAATAGATATTCCCAGTGCCTCTAATCTGTAGTGATCTGAATTAATTAAGAAAAGGCCTATGGGCACTAGCAGGCAGCAGAAGCTGTAAAGCCCCCCAAAGAGGCCAATATTAGCACAGCAGGGATCAGGACCTGCCTGTGCTGCCAGCTCCTAAAATAATCTGTGTTTTCAATGCAGCACAGCATCATTGTTTAGAGCTGCTTCGCCCAAAGTCAAAATAGCTGTGACAATGTTCAGCATCTCGTAGGAGTAGAGGATGAAAACGAAAAATGCAAATACGCCAACCTATCTTTTTGTGAGGTAGAAAAAGATTGTGACTCAAAAATTAGAACTGATGAGAAAAGCCTCACCTCCCGTATATTTGAAAGAATAACAGTAGTTGAAGATTAAGGTAGTACCATAACGAACTCATTTTATTGATGAAGCATGTGTGTGCATGTGCAGTTTCTCTCTCACACATGTACCCCACATACCCCCACACTCTTTGTTATACCCCTGTGATGGTCTCCACTATGTCAAACAGTATTAACAGTTCTCATGTACACACTCATGTGGGAAATGCAGCTTGTAAACCATTTGTTTGTGAAAACAACCAATAATATAATTGGGGAAACTGCATATTTTGAAAATTGTGGTCATGATTGTCATCTCTCCTTAGCCAGCCTATGTGGCCTTGGGCAATACTACAGAGGCCCAGAGGCCCTCAGAAGAAGGAAAGCTTAAACAACTGCAAACAAAACAAAGCAAAACAAAAATCCCACATAGCTCTACATGGGGTTGGGGCAGGTTTGAGTTTGCAGAAGTTGAGCAGGGCTGTGGAGGACAGGGTGTTTTGGAGATTGCTCGTTCTTGGGTTCCCCTAATGTTGTGAGGTGACTTGGCGACACCTAACAACAAAAGCTGAAATT